AAATCTTTAAGGTCATAATTTTTTCTTATTTTAATTACACTTCATTTGCTTTGTATCCCCCCCATAAGCCTCTCCCTCCTCGCCTCCCGATCCCACCTTCCCTCCCCCTTCTTCACGCATGCCCCTCCCCAAGTCCACTGATAGGGGAAGTTCTCCTCTCCTTCCTTTTGATCCTAGTCTATTAGATCTCATCAGGAGTGGCTGCGTTGTCATCTTCTGTGGCCTGGTAAGGCTGCTCCCCCTTCAGGGGGAGCTCATCATTTTTTAATAAAGAAGAATAGTAAGTCTTTTCTTAGTATTCTTATGAAGGGTCTTCATATGTTGCTCTATGCAAAGGTTCTATTCCTTGCTGACAGCAGCATCACCATCCTGTGCAAAGATTAATACCTTGAGTGATTAGTACCTTACCCGCACAGACCTCCCTGTGCTACATGCTGAGATTCCGGGCATTGGTGCAAGTGGGTGGAGAAGGTAATATAAGCTCACATCCTCTTTCCAAGTAAAGAGGAAGAGCAAGAAACGGCTGTCAGCCCCACAGCTGGTCTTGTCAACCCAAGTGATCCCAATTTCATCTGGCCAGAAAAACAAAACAAAACAAAACAAAACCAAAAAAAAAAAAAAAAAACAAAACAGCCTTCTTAGTCCACGAGAGATTTGCTGAACCAGAACCAATCTCTTAAACCTTTGGCAGTTCCTCCAATGAGGACGGAAGTTGAGTAGCTCTGCCTGCCTTGACACTGTTCTCTAGACATTTGTCATGCTCCTGAGGTGCCTCATCCAGCTGCTTCTAGAGAGCATATTCACTTTGTGGAACTACACATGACACTCAAGCACTTTCTATTGTATACTTGTTTTCTTCAGCACTCACTTTAGGACATAAAACAAAGAATGACTGAAAAGAAAGATAGAACCTTATCATGATAAACAATAAATTCAGCTAGACATGATGGTGCATGCCCATAATCCAAGCACTCTGGTGATTGAGGAATGAGGATCTTAAGACCAGTCTAAGCTACATAGCAAGGCTCTGTCTCAAAACCAAACTAATACAGAAAAAACAGCACCCTTCATAGGTGGTATGTGTTTTATTTACTCTGCTTATGAATGATGTTGTTAGCTTAATGTCAGCATTCATTTTTATAAAGTTAAAGGAAAAATCAGCTTTTAAGAAAGGCCTTGAAAGCTGGTCCCAGTGGCCTTGTCTTATTTAGATTTCCTCAGAGCTATGCCCATGCCTGACACAGCTTATTTGCTATATTTTGTCTAACACAGATAAAAGAATTTGTATAAATAGAATGCTGAATTTATGCTTACAAGGCAAGCTTTAAAAGGGAATTTGTAGTTTGCTTGTACTTTGATATTATGTTCTTATGTTTTCTGCAGCAGTTTTAGTGCATATTAATTGTATCATAGTGTTCTCATATGAAAGAAAGAGTGTTTCTTGTTTCCAGATTGTGCTATAATGAATGAAATATTAATATAATGCATGTAATTCTATAATCTCATTTATGGCAATTATTTTTACCCTTATCATCTTTTCTTTCTGTTTCTACATTTTCATCTTTTGTAAAATTTTCATTCTTCCTTACATGCTCACATTGTTTTTGGTTTTGTGAGACGGAGTTCGCACAGCCCAAACGAGCCTAGATCCTGTGGTTCTGTCTCCTGTTGTGGTTAGAGATATGTACCATACCAGATTTATGTTATCACTTTATGTATACAATACTGAGGGATCAGAGGAGAGACTCGTAAGCCCAGACTAGGATATGGGGACATTTAGAGCTAAAACATACATAGACATAGAACAGACTCCATTGACATAAAGGAATGGGATCTTGAAGGATGAATTATAGTTGGTCAATGAAGTCAAAGGAGGAAAATGAGAAGTGAGAGCACACATTATACAAAGACAAAAGGCTGTAACCCTCTGTGCTAGATACTTTCATGTCAACTTGATACAAGCTAAAGTTACCAGACCAGAGGGAACCTCAATTGAGAAAATACCTCTATAATATCTAGCTGTAGGAAATTCCATTAATTAGTGATTGATGAGGGAGGGCCCAGCCCATTGTGGGTGGTGCTGTCCCTGGGCTGATGGTCCTTAGTTCTATAAGAAAGCCAGCTGAGCAAGCCACAAGGAGCAAGCCAGTAAGCAGTCCTCCTCCATGACCTCTGCATCATCTCTTGCCTCTAGGTTCCTGCCCTAGTTAACTGACTTCCTTTGATGTTGTACTGAGTTGTTGAAGCCTAAGCAGAATAAACTCTTTCCTCACTAAGTTGCTTTGGTCATGGTGTCTCATCACAGCAATAGTAACTAAGACACTGTATCTCTCAAGGTGTATAAACTGAGTCCTGTAGTCAATGCTGGTTTTAAGTAAAGAGACTTTAAGTAGTTTGTCTTACTTCTTAATGATTAGGTATCCTTGGATTAGCAGCTTATTAATACCTCTGATGTTTGTTGTTTTCAGTTATAAAACAATAGTACTATCTAGAACATTTTATAATGGTACTATAATAAGATAAGGAAAATATCAGAATTAAAACAAATTACTTTTATGAGCATGAATGCAAAATTCCTAAATAAAATGTCAGCTATCTGAATCTAACAGTAATACAAATGTATCATGAGGGGCCTAGAGAGATGGCTCAGTGCTTTCCTAGAGGACAGAAGTCCAGTTTCTAGCACCCGCATCAGGTGGCTCACAACTGCTCATGACTCCAGCTCCAAAAGATCCAATGTCTCTGGCCTCTACAGGCACCTGTACTCATGTGCATATACCCCCACAAAATTTTAAAAATATTAAAAATAAACCTTCAAAATATATCTTGATCAGTTAGCTTATCTCAGACACATCCTTCAAAAAAAAAAAAGCCGTGGGATTCCCCTCATTATTAGTATGGATAAAAAAAAATCATATATTTATCTTAGTAAATCTAGGACTGAAGAGGAATTCATTAGCTCAGTGATGATTGCATGAGAAAAAGCTATAGTAAACATTAGTTAGTAGAGAAACTTTAAAGGTATTCTTCTCACATGAGGAAGAGGATAAGGGTACCGAGTCCTGTAGTGCTGTTTAACCAGATTTTGCAGAGTCTGACTGGTGCTGTATAAATGGAAATTAAATAATATGTCCATTTTCAAAGAAATATATAAATCGCCATGCTTTTCAGATGATAAAATATTTTCATTAATAATCAGATCAGGCCTTATATGAAATTTAGACAGCATGTCAATTATAAGAGTCATTTATGAAAAACATCAATATTATTTTCTACATTTGCCATATTTAATCAATATAAGTAGTGATACCTTTTGTATTATTAATAAATACTTGAAAATAAGCAGAAAACATTTTAACAGGATTAGGTTAAGATCACAAAGAAGAAAAAATGAACTCCAGTTTAATTAAACTTTAGTATTGAAATGTCTAAATACATGTATGATATTTCATGGTATCAAATATTTTGTGTTAAAATTTTATAGATGTTAATTTAACTCAGATTGATCTGCAAATTCAAATTTAGTTTGATTTTTATCCTAGCAGTCATCTGAAAGTCTTAAGAGTTCACCAATAGTCAGTCTTACAAAAGGGATTCTTACCAGCATGAAATACTTTTCATATTGGTTACCCATCAGTCAAAGTCAATGTGGTAAAAACAATCTTACAGAATTTCTGTTATCTGCACTACTGTCAACATTTTCTTCTAAATTTTCAAAATAGTTCAAGCTCGAACACTCAGTGACTTTTCTAGCCCAAAGTTCCAAAAGTCTTTACACAGTTCCCTTCCCATCCCACTGCCCTTGCCTGCAAAAAGCATAGTCAAGTCAGTCTCAGTTATATTTTACTCTCTGATACCAGTCTCTGTCTTAGTTAGTGTTTCTATTGCTGTGATAAAACCTTGACTAAAAGCAACTTTCAGAGGAAAGGGTTTCCTTTGTTTAGAGATTAAAGCCCAACACTCAGGAAAGCCAGGGTGGAACTTGTGACAGGAATATGGAGGCAGCCACTGAAGTAAAAGCCATGGGGGTGGGGTGCTGCTCACCGGCTTGCTCCTTATAAGCAGACTCCTTATGTTCAGACTGCTTTCTTATACTTTACAGGGCCACCAGCCCAGTGATGGCACTACTCAATAGTAAGCTAGGCCTTCCCATATCAACCATTAATCAAGAAAGTGCCACAGAGACATGTCTACAGGCAGTCAGATGGAGGCATTTTCTCAACTGAGGATCTTCTTCCCAAATAACTCAACCTGCCCTCAAGCTGAGAAAAAACAAACAAACAAAACATGACAATGAGTCTGTGACAAATGTGTATTGTCAGTGTTTCTTTAGAAGCTGTGTGACTTGTGCTGAGCAGCAGAGAAGTTAATTATATTTCATCCCCAAGGAGAGTGAAAGCTGAATCCTCACTACCCCCATCCCCATAAAGTTAGCTGTGAATTCTTGTTTCCTACCCTAATCTTCCACGATTTCCCTCCTGTCAGTTTTTAATATACAGCAGTGAGTATTTAACTAATACCAAAAAAATGCATTCAAAGAAATAGCCATAGATTCCTGTTGTCTTGGAATATAGGCTGCTTGCAGACATTCAGATTCATATAGATTAAATGTTCTTGGATACTTCACATTTGTGTTTCTTTTTTCTTTCGTAAAAGATCAAATGAATGATGACCATATATGAAAACACAGAAGGAAAGAAAAGGTGTTTAGCAACAGAGGCCCCCTTTTAGTGCCATTTTTGGAGCAAGAACCTGCAAGAGGCTTTAGCTCTATCAGTTGGAACTGTCTTTTGTGTAGGTAGAATGATTTTTGGGTTATATCAAAACTGCTGAGATAAGTGCAAAACTACACATTTGGCACTGTCTTTCGTTTTTCTTTCCTTCTCAGGAGATGCAGGGTCTGACCAGAGAAAACCTGAAACTGTATCTTTTATTATCATTTCTAAGTCCATAATATTAAATGATAGAAATTTAACACAAAGCTTCTCTTCCATATCTAGGAGAGGAAGAAGAAATTTGAAAAGGATGGTGAGAGGTTTTACTCATTACTGGACCGGCACTTACATCTTTCATCCAAAAAGAAAGAATCTCAGTTGCTAGAGGTATGTTCACAAACGCTATCCCTGATTCCATCTTGTCCTGTTCCTTAGAAACCAGTCATTTCAGGTGATGAGATTACTCCATCAAATGGCTCAACAGGAGCACATGGAAACATTTGCAGAGAGTACTTGAGGTCTGGGTCCCAGGCCCTCTGAGTCTTCAGCCAGTTTCTCCACCAGCTTCCTTTGTTATGAAACTTTATTCCTGGCTTCAATCCCACTGTTTGGAAGAGTGATACTCAAGCACTCCAAGTGTCACTTTCAATTCCAAGTTTCCAAGTCTGTGTTTCTAGATTCAGTTGGCATAGATTTAAAGTAGTATTGTATTTGGTGTTCCGCTGCCTGTTTTGGTGGGGGCAGGGGGTACTGCACTGGGACCACTGCTTCTATGAGACCTGCAGTGACCACAGTTCTCCCCAGCCACTATTTAATGGATAACTATCAACTCATTAAGCTGGGTGCAACAAAACTACAGAGACACTAATACCACGTTCCTGTCTTTCTACTTGGGATTCTAACATAAGAATGTGCATTAATCTCATAGCAGTAAGGCTCTTTCTGTACTGTAAAACGTATGCTTAAATAATAATTTGGAGGGACCTGGGGAGTGAGGAGATGAAGACATGTCTGGATGGAGGAAATCCCTCTGTGGAAGAAAGTTACCTTTCCAATTTGAGATAATTTGAAAAAAAGATAAAAGGTATCACAAATAGAAATAAAGAAAATGCCCTACACGGAGGCTAGTAGCCTCAAGGTGTGAGTCTTGAGAAGTGATTTGTCCAGAGTTGATACTACTCTAAAAGACTAATGAAAGATAAGCTAGGGTAATCAAATGCAGTGGTTGCACATCTTGACTAATGAAACAACAGCAGCAACAAAGAAAGGAAAATAAAAGAAAAACCATGGCCATGACATCAGAAAGTAGAGAAATATTTGTTATCTGCGGCAGGCAAGGAGAGCAGATGGTTAATTTCCAAAGTGATGCTGTCTGAACAAAAGGAGGGTGAGGACAGTTATAGAGAGGCGTTAAATAAGATTTAGTCCTTGCCTGGCAACTGGGAACCCAACTGGTAAAATGTTTCCCATACTTTTATTAATAGTTCACTAAATGATAGTAGTGGCGCTCTGTGCACAAGCTGTCTATGTAGACAGTGTGGCTCTTCTCAGACAGTCTGGAATGACAGCACATGCTAGGCAGGGAGTGCCTATTTTACAGGCCCAGTGTAAACCGAAGTGTATCATCAGTCTCTAAAAAACCTTCCCTGGGAGCTATGTTTACTGGGTTGTTATAGCTAATTGAAAGGAATTTCATGCATCCTTCACGAAACTTCTAAGGAGTCTCTTGGAAGCTTATATACAGTTTCTTCTATACAGGGTTCCTCTCTTTGATGATTTTTCTTAGTATCCTTTAACTGAAAGAGTGCCATCTGGTATTATGACTATATGTTGAATCCCCAGTCCTGTGGGTCCTCTTAGTGACTACCATATCTGAAGATACATGGGGATACATTCCATATATTGGAGGTTTTTTTTTTTTTTTTTTTTTTTTGCTGTGAAGTTGTCTAGAGTATTCTAGTAGTTTTATATGATATATAAGTATCATTGTTGACACTGTGTGGGGATTTTGGTGTTTTCAAACAGGGTTTCCCCTAGAATGTCCTCAGATTCCCAGAAGTCATCCCATGCCATGTACTGGGATGGTAGGCTTGAGTCACCATAGAATTATGATGAGCAAGACTATAGTCCTTATAACTGTTCATTTAAAAGTGAAGTAAGGGAACTTGGTTCAGTCTCCTTTTTTTTTTTTACTTTTGTTTTTTAATTTGTTTATGTTTTTCAGTCTCTTTTCTTAAATAGGTTTTATTTTTAGAGATACTTTGTTTAGCTAAGTATGTTGGGTAATGGTTATAATCCCAACACTCAACAGGCTGAGGTAGGAGGATTGCTATGAATTTGAGCTATATAATAAGTTCTGCATGGTGAGACTCTTTCTTAGACATAAAGAACAGGAAGAAAGGGTTGAAAAGATAGAGGAAAGGAGGAAGAGAGAGAAGGAGAAGGCTGCAATTGTAGCTTGAGAGTTTGAGGCCATCCTTGGCTACATACAGAGTGAGAAGTCAGCCTAGGATACATGACAACCCTGTCTCCCTGAAGGAAACAAAGAGAGGAGCATATCATTGTTAAATCACTTTTCAGTTTTATTGTTATATTGCCTCATCTCTCAGAATGGTATGGAAAAAGTTGAGAGACACTGCCTAGGACAGATTTAGGCAGTTCGGGGGAACGGGGAAAAGGAAGAATGTGTACTGTGATAAATCCTAAGACAAGTTTTTTTCTTTAATTTAATTTTGTATTTGATAACTATAAATTCACATTGTGGATAGAACAAATACTGCAGAGAGATTCCATGTATCTTAAAAAGCAAAGAAAAAAGAGGGACAATATAGAGATAAAGATTCCTGGCACGCATTTTTAGTGTTGTTAATATCTTTTATTCATTTATTGCAATTGGTGAGCCAATAGGTTTTGTGTTCTGTGGCTATGGATTGATTTTTGTTATCTATCTATCTATCTATCTATCTATCTATCTATCTATCTATCTATCTATCT